AAATTTATCCTAGGATAGATTTATACCGCCAACCAAACAAGGTATAAATTTAATCCCAGACTTAATCCAGGATATCCCATCTTATCCCACCTTATCCTATCAAATATGAGATTATTTTATCCCATCTCTCATGTGGTATAAATTAGTATTGGGATTATAATCGCGGGATAATTTAGTCCACGTACCAAACGAGTAAGACTAAAGTATCAGAGTGCAAGAGTGTAGCTGAAGAGCTTCAAGCACTTGGTTGTAGAGATCTTAGGTACCTGATGCTCTTTGTAAACCAGATCAGAAACAATATACCAGATTTAGCATCTGCAACTTCCAGGGTCTTCTGAAATTAAGTTTCAGACAAGTAATCTTAAGTGTATTATATATTTATATTTTCAATATGAAATGACAACTCCACTATTCTTGGGACAATTGCATTAAATACCCTTAAAGGACAAGCTTTTTCAATGTAGGGAAGTAGGGCATGAGGTAGTAAATGATAAAATCCTCTTCCCTGACTTGAAGAGTTGCCACTTGTTGCATGAGAAACAAAATCTTTAATTACTACTATATGTTCTAATTAACTTCATCTTTTATTACTCTCCAGATTAATAAATCCAAATATCATAGGCTATGCTTCATAGTTCGAGATGGGCAAAGTCACAACATTCTCCAACTTTAGTTACCAATATTGCTTAATATCTGTTTACTTTCAAAATTCATGCTTGGGCTAATGAAGTTAGTTGCAGACATAGAAAGGTTAAAACTCAACTAAGTTTGTACCAAGTTGACTAAGCCTAAGCTTGCACTCGATGGTGGCCTAGTGGTTGATAAAGCGTGATAAAACCCATGGGAAATCAAGATTCAAATCCAGTAGACAAAAAGAAAGCGGTGATATCTTACAATCTACTTAAGTATTGGTAGACAAAGTTACTCGATATCCTTACTGGTTGGACGTAGCGGGGGATAGAGTAATTGAGGTGCACTAAACTAGTCTGATGCCACCTTTTTATAAAAAAACAAAAAAAAAATGGTGCTACGCTCAGGCCTACACCAATTTGGGCCTGCACCCAATGGTGTGGCTTAGTGGCCAATAAACAACAACAACAACAACAACAACAACAACAACAACAACCCAGTATAATCCCACTAGTGGGGTCTGGGGAGGGTAATGTGTACGCAGACCTTACCCCTACCATGAGGTAGAAAGACTGTTTTCAATAGACCCTCGGCATCCTTCCCTCCAAGAACTCTCCACCTTGCTCTTGGGGTGACTCGAACTCACAACCTCTTGGTTGGAAGTAGAGGTTGCTTACCATCAGAGCAACCCCTTAGTGGCCAATAAAGCTGAATAAAAATCATGGGATATCAGGATTCAAATCCCACCGGACAAAGAGAACGCAATGATATTTTCCCATCTGGTTAAGCATTAGCAGACAAAGTTACTCGATATCCTTACTGGTCCGAGGTAGCAGGGAATAGAGTAATTGAGGTGCGCGAAACTAGTCAACATGCCACCATTAGAAAAAAAGGAAGTTGCTAGGCTTAGGCCTACACCAATTTGAAGACTGCAGTTTCATGATCTGGTTAGTTTAAGCCCTATCAACCTAGGAACACATACACCAAAAAGCTTACAGGTCTAGACAAAGTACAACAGTCTTAAAGTTGGAACAATCTTAACTAGCAAGATCTTAAAATCTAGTAGTTGCTAAAAGAACAGAGAGAAGGGGCACCTGGTCTCTTCTTTTAACAATGGGTAGGCCAAAATCTTTCATAAAACAGAAAGAAAACCAGAAAAGAAGCTAAGAATATAATCAAAGTAACACAAAGAAACCTTGGAAATGGGAAAAGGACCTGAGGATTGAGAGATCCATTAAAAGGGAAATCCTTAACTCATCATCCTATATACTTTACAGATGATGATCTATGAATGGCTTTTCAAATAAATCACTTTTTCATACTTTGCATATTGTTTTCTATTTGTTTTGATTGCATTCCTAACGTTAGAAGAAAGTCTAATCTGTCTATTCCACTTGTTAACCTTTATGCACTTTGTTTTTTTTGAGTTGGGTTGGCTGAAACCTTGTGTTTAGGGAAAGGCTTTTATTCAAAATTACCTGTTGATTCTTCCTTTTTCTAATTCATTTTGAGAGAAAGTTTAAGAGGGTTCCCTCCCAATCTTTTTTCTTTGTTTGTTTCTTTTTTATAACAGTGGTATGCGGCCAACTTGCGCACGCCATAACTATTTTACGAGGTACCGTCATACTGCATAAGTCTGCCCACCAAAAGCTTAGACAGATAGGAACAAATCACTCGGTGTATTTTGCTTTTGGAATTTGCACCATGTCTCTATAGTTTGCATCCCATTTCATTAATCACCGAGTCACACCTCTTGGGTACATTGGTAACCTACTACTTACATTTATGTAGTAAAATAGTTAAAAACTAGTTTGGTATATCTATTCTATTACTTTTGCATGTATTTGGGTCAATAAAAATCGAGAAAAAAGGGGAGCTAGCATTAACGAAAAACTTAATCAAAATGTTGATAAAAGTTCACCTATTTTATAATGTTCATGTACTAGCGCAGTGAACACAGAAAGAATATTGTACCATAATCAGGCGAAGCTAGAAATTTTTCCTAGGGTATTCAAATTAAAAGAAGTGAAAAAATTCTGACAAAGGGTGTTCAATATATGTTATATACCTCTAAAACGTAATATTTTACCTATATATACAATACAATTTTTCGACGAAGGGTAGTCAGTTGACCACCCTTAGGACCATGTGGCTTCGCCACTGACCATAATCACTAATAAAAGTTGAAATAAAAATTTAAAAGCGCAAATGTTCTTCATTTAGAAGTTAAATAACTTTGTTATATAATAGTAATCTTAGAAGATATACAAAATCTTACAAAAAGGCACGACTAGTTCAAAAAAATAAAATAATAATAATAAAACAAAAATGATCTTTCTCTTGTGTTAGGTGATTAGGCAGGACATGGTTCATCTCCAGCTTATCGAGGACGTGATCCGTAATGTTGAGGTCAAGGATTAGAGTAAAAAGTTAGTAGGTAGTCGAAAGTCTTTCCTTCCCATACTACTAGCTTTATTATTATTCATTCCTTTTTCTTAGATTTTGATTACTTCCTTATGTTATTTCTGCTTTGGTGTATTATTAGATTGCTATTGGTTCTGCATATGTTCCTTCTTGATTTTTGCGTCTCTTGTTCCAAATTATCGTGCTTATGTTTGCCTTAGTCGATGATTTATCGGAAATAATTTCTCTAGCTATACAAGATAAGGTAATGTCTTCGTATACATTACCCTTCCCTGACCCATATTAATCGGATATATTGTTATTGTTGTTGATCTTTCCCTTGTGTTCGGCTGTAGCGGAAACATTCTTTGATTAGAAAAGTTCACATCATTACTTAATGATTATGTTAACAATTGGCCAAAAACCCGAGTTTTGAATTAAAGGTATTTAGCACTCGCAAAGGCATATACATGGCTAGATTTATTAGGCCCCATTTCCATAAGGCAAATATTACTATTTATAGTACGACTAATATATTATTTTTACTTTGCCATACATTATTGGTCACACACACTGCCAAAAAATCTGCACAGGGCAAAGAAGCAGATTGATAAAGATAATGTGAATTTGAAAATAGTATAAAGTGTTTTCCTCTCTTGTCATTCAAACATTGTTGGATTTGAACTAAAAAAGGAACACAAGTTTAGCCATTTAGACAACCCCAAAATGGGTATTTTGGCCAGACAGGGAGTTAAGGATGTCTGAAAGAGATATACTTTGTGACCTTTTGACTATGCTTTTCTTCCTAAGAAATCTTGTATGAACCCAATCTTTTGTACAATAATAAAGCTAAAGTATCCCATTCATTGCCACGTGGCAGAGACCATTTAGTGAATGAACGGAAGTTATTTATTTGTATTCGGTGTTTATATCAAACAAATATATCTAAGAGGTATATTTTGTGTAAAAACTAATATTACTTAATCATAATTAAGTGATATATATTGTCATTTTACTTTATAATTGTTATGATCAAAGAACTTAGTTTGGCAGAAACATTAGGTTGAGTAAGTATTCTCTAGGAAAAAGGGTCAAACTCGCCCTTGAACTATGTGAAATCATATTTTTTGTCATTCGTGGGTCATTTATATATTTGTCGTATTTGTTTTTACTAACGACCCCTTAAATACGGGTCTAATAAGGGTAATTAGCATTGGAATTTGACACGTGTTCTGCACGTGGCACAATTAAAACCCTCCCCCTCTTTACCGGACCTCCTCTCTTCTTCTTTTTTTACCCCTGTTCAATTCAAGGGTAATATTATTCTGAACCTTACTCATAGTTAAGGTGCAAATGTGTATTAATATATATGTTGAATTGGATTTTTACAACTTGGTCCAAAATCTCTAAAAATAGGAAAGAAACAAAATGCTGACAACCGACAGGAGCAGGTAAACTGCTGAGTAAATATGGAAGGCCTCTCTACCAAACAGAGCAGCTTGCAATGTACAGTCACAGCCGGTATTCAGTCGTCAAAAATAGCGAAGAAGAAACTTCTGTTTTCTTGTTTAAACGTGCGGTAACTAAGAAGTAAATATATTTATCTTTTTGTTTCTCATTCAATATCCGTACTTATCAGGGCCTCAAGTAATTGAAATTTACACTACGGTAAAACTCGTTAAACAGAAAAACGCTCCTTACTAGATTCTTTCTTATTTTCATGGGTTGAGTCTAGAGATTTGATTAAAGATGAGTGATCATATTCAACTCACCCAATCCTTAATGATAAATAAATTTATCAAATTGGGAAATTATCCTTTTTAGAATTTGAAATACTCGAATATTCTAAAATTATAGATTTGATCATTTTTAACTTATGACAAATAAGAAAATAATTTAACACTTAAAGAATAGGAAACATGATTTATGATTAATTTGGAACAGATATGAACACAATAAAAAATCTTTAAAAGAATATTTGATTCCAATAGCCAACCATTTTGATTTTTGCCAACACTAGGAATAAAAATTTCCAATTTTGATCCACCTTAATGGTTCTAATCCACTCAAATCTTGCCACGTGCCCTCATGTTTTAACATTATTTTTTCAACTAGACAGGTGGGTCCATATGGGCCACTTCACCCATTAGTCCAATTATCAATTCCACATTAGAAAGTACATCTATTTATGTACAACGTACAATCAGACTATGCACAAATATTAAAAATACACGTTTTCCGTTAGCTAACGACACCAGAAAAAATGACGGCGTCACATCCTTCTATAAATACCTCAAACATTTATCCCGATTCCTTCTCTCCTTTGTCTCCATTCTATATTTGTTTCCTTCTCACACACACACACAGAGACTAATGTGTGTATTATATACAGATATTTTACGTATTTGAAGATTCTGTGTATATATGAGAATCTGAAACTTTCCGGTTTTTAAGCGCCGTAGAATCTCCTAAAATTCGCCGGCGGGGAGTTTGCCGGCGCCGGCGAATATTCCATTTTTTGCAGAAGATTCTTTGTAGCTGTAGGAGAAGCTTAATGCAAGGGATTTTTCACTGCTCATTTGATTTGATTTGATATCTTAGTTAGGGTTTTGGACTCGCAAAAAAGTAGAAAGAACAGAGCAGAGAAATAAAAGCTCTTTGGATGGTAAATTCATCAATTTTCGAGTGGGTTTAGAGCTGAATTATAGCTTCGGTGACTATTTCAGGTATGAATTTTCTGATTAAATTGCGAGCTGTTTTATTAATTTTCTCATATTTGGAGAAGAGTACAACTTTTGTTTTAAAAAAACTTAAAGTTTTATCTGTTTTTGTACATTCAACGGGCTGATTTTACAGCTAGAAATTGCTCATTCAATTTTCTAAAGCGATTAGCCAATCATTTTTTAAAGCCCCCTCTAACCAGTTTCAATTTTCAACTCCTATTCTCTACTACTACTTGTACTGCTATTACTGCAGCTACTGCTATTCTAATATTTATTGCCTCTTTCTCTCTCAATTTTCTTTTTTTCTTTTTTTTTGACAGTGATATGTATTTATAGATTGATGTATTAGTATGTAATTTACGTACAAATTGTACGTATGTGTCTATGTTGTTCTGTGACGGAGACAAATTTAGAACGGATTCTATGAGTTAACTTAACTAGATTTTATCTTCCCCAAATTTCATATTGTGGGAATAGACAAAATATATTGTCGTTGTTGTTGTTCTATGAGTTAAATAGGCTTATTTTTTAAAATTGAATTATATATACAGATGTAACAAAATTAAATGTATACGTGTAATAATATGAGATTCTTTATAGTTTGATCGATTTTAATTTCTGAATTCGTTTATACGTGTATAAGTGTAACGGGAGAGGAATTGGGAAGAAAAAGAGTGATCATAAAGAAGAATAAAGGGAATTGATGATGAATATGCGTTAGAAACTTAGGTTCTGGAGTATAAGAAATTAAAAAAGATTTTATTGCTGGTTTTTCTTTATTCTTTGCTTTTTCTATTGGGTGTCTGATGCTTTAAAGCAAGAACAGTGGAAACAACTTTGGGATTGGAATTCTAACAATTGATCACTATTTCAATCTCTTCTTCCAATAAAAACAACTCTTTCTTTTCCCTTTTGATCACTTCCTTGGATTCTGAACCAAGTCTTCTTTTTCGTGTAGTCAAGGCTCTTATGTTTTTTTAGGAGTATAGTCTTGAAGCAATATTAAAAAGACAATTCATGTGATCTAGAAATTTATAGTTTGAATCGTGAAATGAGTAACTAATATTTGTATTAGAATAATCTACTTACATCATACTTCAATGGGGTGAATAATTTGTATACTGGATTGTCCTTTTTCGAAACTTTTATTTTTTGGGTGGGAAAGTACAACAACAACAACAACCCAGTGTAATCATATTAGTGAGGTCTGCGGATGATAGTGTGTACGTAGATCTTATCCCTACCCTGGGGTAAGGAAGCTGTTTCCGATAGACCTTCGGTTCCTTTCCTCCAAAAACTTCTCACCTTGTTTTTGGGGTGACTCGAACTCACAACCTCTTAGTTGAAAGTGGAGGATGCTCACCACTAGTGAAACACAATCATGGGTGGAAAAGTACATGAGTACAAAGTCATTTTTCAAATCAAATTTAAGGATTTAGATATTGTACACTAATAATGTATAGATTCTTTTATATTATCAGTGCGTTTCAACTTTTGATAATAGATTAGTTATTATTTTTATTAATTTACTAATCAACGCTAATTATAATATCAGTGCACAAAAGTTAAATTCATTTCGTAACATTCACTTGTTATTATTTTTATTCGTTTTTTTTTTTGAATTAAAGCTTTTTAAATTTGTTTCACATAGTTTGTTGGGATTTCACAACGGGGTTTGCTGATATATTGACTGGAATATGCAAAAATAATACTCCATTTTATCTTTCTGATAAATATATGCTTATTTAAGACAAAAGGACAATCTCTTGGAAAGTGATACATGTTGGATTACAATAGTGTTAATATTTCCCCTTATTGATTTGTGGATGGTGACATTTTTTCTTGAATTAATTATTGGCTCTTTAATTTTTCCGGGAAATGTATATTAGACATTTAAAGCATTTATAAGAGTTGTCATATTCATTTCACATATCTTTTTTTATGTGTGGAACTCAACATCTATTCCCCTTTCAAAGTTTTCATAGTAGTATTTAAAATCATAATTGCTATTAAGGGGTGTTTTATCATTAGCAAATTTATGTAATTAACACCACTACAATTTACTTTGATAAAAATTTATCTCCACCGGATATTTACGTCAACTCAATATATTTGGCATATGTTTGCATATAGAAGACTAGAGAAATTTCACTAAAATTGGAGTCCACCAAAAATAATTGTTGAAAATGTATATATTGTGTATAATTAATTTATAATAACTATATATTGGCTAGGAGATGTAAATATATTTTTTCTTTGCAAACTACAGTTAACTAATATATAATGTCACCTCATCAAATCATTAAATTACGATAAACAGATATGATTTGTGCAAATATTTAATGCAAATAATTTTTTTATGATTTACTATATAAATCTTGATAAGTAATGATTTAATTTTGTTTTTGCAGGAACCAAAGAGAGTAAAACAGAGATTAAAGGGAGATGTTGACGTGTATAACATGTAAGCAAAAAATAGATGATGATGGAGGAGAAGAAGGTCCACGTGGGACCCCCAATACTAAAGACTCAGTCAAAAGCTTGACGGCCCAGGTTTTAATCCTATACCTTCCCTTACTCTATTATTTCTCTATATTTGTTTCTAATCATTTAGTATGAAATTTAGTGGCACGATTAGTGTAAATTCACTTAAGTTATTAACAATGACGGAGACAGGATTAGCGCTAAGAGGATAAAAAAAAAAGTTAAAAAAATTATAACTAATGGGAATAGAACCAATGACCTTACAAAGATTTTGAACATTCTTAACCACTAAGCTTTACTTTTGGGTTATGTCAAGGGAATTCAAAACATAATATATATATAGATAAAAAAAATAGATTTTACCTTATATATACAGATCCGCTCTTAGTTACTAAGTTAACCAAGCACGTAAAATGATTCATATCAAGATATTTTCTGTTCTCAAGATTCAATTCCAAGATTAATTAAAGTGAAGAGATCTTAACTATCCCGTCACATTCGTGATTGAATAATGCAATTTTTTGCGTTACATGTCAATTCAGCCATATATCTTTTGTGGGGTCCAAGTTTCCTCATTTGGGCCCACATCTCCAATTGGGTTTGGGCTATTTTGGAATTGGGGTTAGAGTTGAATGAAACTTTTTGGTTCCTTGGGGAGTGGAGGAGGACCACAAAATGTGTTTGAGGGTCCAAAGATTAATAAAGTGTTTTATTTGTGGACACTATAATAATATTATTAAAATGACTTAATTGACCCTACAACTTGGCCTAGTACTATTTGTTTTTATTCTTTTTTTTTTGGGAGGCGGGAAGGGTTAAAGATGTTGAGTGGGTGCTATTTCTTGGATCATGTGTCTAAACTTTGGTCCCATAATGTTCCAACTTTAGTTTTTTTTTCTTTTTTCTTTCTGATTTTTCTTTTTTGATCATCATGCAATTATAAGAGTCTTTGTCTTCTTTATTCAATTTCGGCCACAATGTTCTTTTTTTTATTTTTTTATTTTTTTCGATTTTCGTGTGGAGTATATAATAATCATGACGTAAAGCTATTCACTTGAAAAGATCTTGCTTGGAAGTATGTAGTCTTAAAAAAGTATTCATTAGGCCAAAATATCTCAATTTCTACGGAGTTTATCTTTTTTAAGGTCTAAAAACTATAATTTGAACTATAGTTCGATTTCAATTATCACAAAATTGTTGTTGCTAATTGAGCATCATACTTCTTTGTAATCTGTAAGAGAAAACAAAAGATGAATATTAATTATTGCGCTTCTTAATTCAACTTTGAAAGCTGGTTTGAGCTTTTTCTTTTTAATTCTAAACAGTCATTATTTGTCTAAAAAGCACAAATAAGTGTGACAAATTATTTGTGCTTCTAACGGATGAATGCTTTTGTGTGACAAATTAACAAACCATTGTAAGTTGATTAACTGGACCAATTAGACCCAAAGGAAAGCTTTGTATTATTAATTAATTAAATATAAGTGGAAGTGGAGGTACACCAAATAGTCTGACAAAATTAATATAAAAAACTAGTTCACATGTGCACTTTAGACCTTCTAGCTTTGACTAATACAATTATCGGGTAACTATGCATATTAAGAGCAAATAAAAATAAAAATCATCTACTACTTTTTATGGATTTTCACTCACTTTATTGATCTATTAAATATATATGTATTACTATATTTTTAAAACTCCAGTCAAAAAGTTATTAGTTCTTTCAATCAACTTGAACTCTCTTTTCCAAATTGTAACATATATTTTAGTTAATTATAACCATACAACAACTACAACATACCAAGTGTATTTTCATAATTGGGGTATGAGGAAAGTAGTATATACCCGGTTCTTACCCCTACCTTAGGAAAGATAAAGAGATTGTTTCCGGAAGACCCCGGCTTAGATTACACTCATCTTTTCTATTATTTCTCGATAAGGGTAATCCTTGATCATGCTTTAGAAAATCTTGATGACATCACATTATGAGGTAGTTGATTGAGTTATTCTTTAGCATGTTTTTTTTAAATATTTTTTGGGTCAAATCCTACTAGAATTTTCAAAGGCAAATGAAGGGATCAATATTTGGTACTATAAAATCCAAAGTAAGGGTGATTCTGATAAAAGACAATACATATGTCTGGAAAAGACATGTCCAAGTTTCTTTTACCTGACCCACCATTGAATTCTTGTCTTTCCACTGTTCTCCAGCCTTCTGCTTACTCAACCCTGCAGTGAAAGTTAACTCGTGAAAGTAGGTGATTTTAAGTATTGCAAAGGACAATCAAACAGTAATGTCACTGCTTTTGGACAATCAACCTTGACCCCTCCTTTTCTTTTAATTTTCTTTTGCATGTCGTGGTATTTAGTGACAGATTCAAAATTTAAACTTGATGGGTTCGATCTTTATGTTCTTACCATTGAACCCATTAATTTTTAAAATAATGGCTTCAAAATTGAATAATTATTAGAAGTTTATTATTTTTTCACATATATACATTTGTTACATGTCTAAAATATTAAGTTTAGCTTAACACTATACAAACTACATAGCTAGGGGCAAAGGTACATTATCTGAAGGGTGGTCAATTGATCACCTTTTGTCGAAAAATTACACTGTGTATATAGATAAAACATTAGCTTTTAAAGGTGTATAACATGTACTGAACACGTCGCGGAATTTTTTCACTTCTTTCAAGTTTGATAACCCTTGCGGAAATTCCTAGCTTCGCGACTGTCCATAGCTGAATTGCTTGCTTATCTTGCTACACTAATGGCTACTGTGGGAAGCAAACTGGCTTCACTTCCTATGGTTTGAATCACCTGAGGATTTCAATATGTAATTTAATTGTTAAACCAACATTAAAATGTCATTTGGCCTATCTTTTACCATGTCCTCTGGGATAGGCCTTGAAGTTCAAGCTCAAATTTTGGACGTGTACTGTATTAAGCTAAGATATTTCAGTAACCAGAGGAGTGTGGTGAAATGTATTGGATCCTTCAATCCTTAACTCGAGATCTCATATTCGAGCCTTAGGAACGGGAAAACTGTAAAGAGACGCTTCCTCCTTTAATGCGATATATGCTACGTGAAATCGGATTAGTCAAAGTTAGTGACCGTTAGCGAATGCACAAAGCAAAAATAAGATATTTCTGTTGATCTTTTAACAATGAATTCATCTTCCTTATTTTGTACTACTTGTCTCTTGTAAAACTAATGTATCAACAAAATTTTGCAGATAAAGGATATTGCATTAAAGGTCTCTGGTAAAAGCAGCAAGTCCAGTACACCAACTAGCAGTTACAGGAGAGGTCACAGACCTTATCCTGATTTTGAGACAATTTCAGAGGACGTTCCATATCAACCAGGAAGTTCAAGTTCACCTCCAGCTTGGGATTTTACAAGTACCCAACATCATCGTACTCCTCGAGCTGATTCAAGATTTGCTGGAGGATATAGTGGTGGTGATGAAGATAAAAGAGAATCTGTCTACTCACAGTCAGGTGATGTGGTGCTGCCCGACGAGGAGGGGCCAAAAGAGTGGATTGCTCAGGTGGAGCCTGGTGTTCAGATTACTTTTGTCTCTCTTCCTAGTGGTGGAAATGATCTCAAACGAATCCGCTTTAGGTATATACCAAGAACCATTCTCTCTTGAAACGTAACACATTTCGCCAATCGGCCAAAAACAATTACAGTAGCTAGCCAAATATATAAAAAATATACAATGATTATGTATATATATATTAAATGTATATTATACACTAATATACAAAAAAATATACATTTGCCGGTTGTTATTTTGGGGGATGGCTATATTGCGTAAATTCCAATCCTGGGAAACATTGAACTTGTTGTCTATATATAATATTGGACTAGATGAGCTTAAATGGAGCGACATGGTCAGTGAGTATTCATATAGTCGACCCTAGGATTGAAGTGTAGTTGTTATTGTCGTAGTAGTATTGAACTAGTCTGTAAAACGACCTTTCTTCCCTCACACCCTTCAAAAATATGCATGACCTTCTTCAGACCATTTCATTCACAAGTTTGCCTAGAGTTTTGTTTATTTCTAGTGGTGGAAATAATCTTAAATAAATCCGATTTAGGTACATATCAAGAATCTTCTTATCTTGAAACTGATTATGGGAAATATTCAACTTCTTGTCTAAAGGTTTCAATTCGAAGAAAAGGAAGGTAATTGCCATGTATAGTTGAACAATTTTCATCTTTCACACCCTTCAAAATATAGTCATGACCATCTTCAGTCCCTTCCATTCATCAATGAATATTCAGTTCTTTCCTTAATGTAGAATCGATGCACACTAATTCTTCTGTTTTCTTAGAAAGTACGGATTTGAGTCGTCATTAATCATTTGAAATAGTATTCAATATGTATATGTGTTTATAATTCTCTCATTCTTCCACAGTCTTGTTGAGTACATGTTTTCATGGACCCGAGAACAGGTAAATATCTGATGCGGATGTGTAAGAGTTCAATATGGACACACCATTTTTGCTAACTTGGTTAAGTTTGAAGATTTTCATGAAATACCCATATATCTTATGTTACAAATCGACATTATGTCGAAGCAGACGAAAGATCATGTACGATGTTTTACTTTTCTTTTGTTCTGTTCTTGTCTCTCCCACTAGTGGGATTACACTGGGTTTGTTGTTGTTGTTGTTGATATTGTTGTCTGTTCTTGTCTGGTCAAATTTATTGCATGTTTACTACTATACCATTCTTACTTCCATTTTGATGTGTATTTATGTTATCTGAGTTACTCGCCTAGTTGATTGAATGTGCACGTGGAATCTAGCTTTCCGACTCGCTCTTTAAGCTGCAAATAAAACATATCCCAAGTGTACTGACATTAGTTTCACATGTTTGCAACTTGAAGTCGGGACATGTTTGATAAATGGCAAGCTCAAAGATGGTGGGGTGAGAATTTTGACAGAATTATGGAGCTCTACAATGTTCAAAGATTTCATCAGCAAGCTATTGACACTCCCGGGCGGTCTGAGCTTGGAGTAAGAATGCTGCCTCTTTTATTCATATTTTCTATGTGCAGAACTCATCTCTAACTTGCTGCTGCTTTGATTTACATCCACCATTAAACTTGGATTTGTTTTTTCCTGATTTGCTAGTTTTCTAATCAAAAGCAAATGGCCAAATCCAGTACCGCTGGATTGAACAATAGGAAGAATTTGCACTTGACTCTTAAGTTCTATTGAGAAATTCAACAGTTTAAAGTACTCAAAAACCAGATTTGAATGACACAAATCTTATGGTAACAACTTGAGAGTGGCTTCATTAGTTGATTATAGCGTTTGCTTTATGCCCTTTTGTACCTTACGTTTAAAGGGATTAGTTAAAACATAAGTACAGTTTAAGCTACTCAAATTTTACAAGATTATGATCCCTTATTGTATCTTTACATGCCATTTTTTTTTATAATTCTAAAAAGAATCTCAGATGTACTAAGCATTAGCTTAAACTAGGATGTCAATTTCATGCCTTTTCTTTTATCTGCAGAGAGATTCTAATTATACAAGGCTAGGGTCACCTAGGGAAAGCAAGGATTGGGGTCCAACAAATTATAGACCGTCCAGCAGTAGCCAATACAACTACGGTGGAACCAGTTCTTACGCCCCCGGTATGGAAGCATCAAGGATGACAACCGACTCCAGAGACGCTTCAATTTCCATGAGCAATGCTGGTGATATGGAGTCAGAATGGATAGCAGAAGATGAGCCTGGTGTATACATAACCATCAGACAACTAGCTGATGGCACCAGAGAGCTGCGGCGTGTAAGATTCAGGTATTTCAAATTCCTAACTCTTTTCTACTTCCCGTGTTAGTACATTTACTTTAGTTCGAATGTTTGCTATGAATATTTATGCTAGTGGACTGTTTGCTGTGAATATTTATGCTATGAATATTTAGCTTCTAGTGTACTTAAGACGGGTTTATATGGAGCGGCATGGACAGTGAAGATTCATATTGCCGACCCCAACTGGCTTGATTGAAGCGTAGTAGTTGTTGTTGTTTGCTAGTTCGCTTGTTCTGATGTACTAGTTAGTTCAGTGTAGAAGAGATGAAAGTTGAGAACTTGGTCTGGAAATTCAGTTGACACTACTCCTTTGGCTACCTAATAAAGATGTGCATCAACTAAAGATAAAAAAGACTAGAAGTAATATGCTCTTCTAATGCAGAGAAATGGCATTCATTTTATTTGCTCTTCTATAAGAAAACAATTTTGGCTTATAAGATGTGGTGCTGGTCATCTATTGAAATTCACTCTCTTTTGCACCTACTTCTGACTTCTGAATTCAAGAACCATGGTAAAGAACAAGTTTCTGGAGTTTATATTAGATGCTTCAAACTTCTTATTAAAGTGTTAATGGTTCTTACTCAAAAATGGATTCTTCTAACTTCTTATTCATCTATGCAGCCGCGAAAAATTTGGGGAGGTTAACGCGAAGCAGTGGTGGGAACAGAACAGGGATAGAATACAAGAGCAATACCTTTAAAGCATGTTTTTCTTTCATACTAAGTTGCTGGCAATTTCCACTGAATATCAAGGAATTCCCTGGAAATTGAACATTTTTGCTTCTTCAAAGTGATTAACTTAAACTCACCATCCACGATATTCGTCGGGTTATTTGAGCACCACTCTTGGCAGTAAAAGAGATTACACCAGGCTCATTCATATTGAAGTATATAGTTTTTTCCAGTTGGAATGGCTCCATTCTACAGAAGAAAGCTCCTGAACAATTTTTTTTCGGTTTTTTATGTCATGGCATTTTTTTTATCTCTAATTATACCTGATTTTTCCAAATTCTTTTTGGTCTTTATTTTGCCTTCAGTTTTTGGTTGAATGGCTTGCTGGATCTCCTAGCGTTTACTTAGATGTCTCTTAGTTGTTTTCTTTGTAACACAATCTTCATATACCGAAGGAAATGGTATAAAAACTGATGATGCTAAAAGCTCTGATCTGTTCTTATCATTGCTATATGTAGATCACACAATCACCAATTTTTTTTGTAGTGGTAGTGTTAGAACCAACTTACGCGCACCTCGACTGTTCTAACAGGTACTTGTTACTTTCCACCAGCACAGTTAACAAATAACACAATCACTAAATTGAATGTCAATTTTTTCGGAACTAGTTCTATTTTTGGACACAAGATAACTCTTTTGTTTTTTTATTATTAGAAAACCTATGGAGAAGCAAAGGTGCAGACCCACTTGGAGAAACCTAAATTAATTCTCAGATACTTTTTACTGGGGTATTTGTTTCCCCTTCTCTAATTTTAGTTTAAAAGTAAAAACATGAGCAAACAAAAATCTCATCTTCCAATTCCCTCGTTTGTAATTCAATTTTTTATTTTTATTTTAGGACGTTCTAGAATACTATTAGAATAGTTATGTGAATATATATATAAAATTAGTTTTAGTCCCTTATGTAATAGGAGCAGGTTATATATTATGTATACATATAAATAGGTATCATTGTAACATAGAATATCAATAATAGATTTTTCTCCCGTACATTCTCACATGGTATCAGAGCATCGGTGAGAAAAGATCGATGTGTGTCATTCCAGCGATATCCGGGAAGAGAGAACTCAGTCACCGTGCAATTTTCCAGTGACCTAAGTGACTGATTGCGTCAAAGTCACTATTTATCAGTGTTGTACAAAATCCAACACCACCACAAGGTTCCCAAGAGAGATCCGACCAAACCCCAGAAAGATTCCCCAAAAAATACTCATCCACGTGCATGTCGGAGATCTGCTTCCGGCGGCGCGTTTGTCACACGCACCGGCGCGTGTGCCCTGCTCCGGTCAGATTTTGAAAAACTTTCTTTTGAACAATCTGCTCGCCTAGTAATTTCGAGCCTACCTATACCTTTTTCTTTTTATTCCGATCACTTTGAGATTTTCCGGCGACCACACTGAGCTATAGTGATTTTTTCGACGAAGCTTCTTTTGGACAGATTTTGCATGAGGTTATTCCGAGTCTTTTCATTCAAGTTTCATCAGATTCCGACAATATTTTTTATTTTCCGGCGAGTGAACAGTATTTTCTCAAAAAAAAAAAAAAA